TTACAGGGTTTATACTGAGTTCAATATTGTATAACTGTATTAATTCAACAGCAAACATAAACTTTTATAGCCACTTTTGCAAGAGATGTATTTTTGCTCTGGAAACTGTTACTGAGTATGTTAAAGCTGTAATGAAATGCTCCTCCAAAAAAAAAATTTAAAAAATTGGGTAAGTGCCTTCCTTGCTTGGTCTAGTCCAGAACGCCCCCTGCTCCTTGTTTATATTGGCTTATTTTTTGCTCTGGAAACTGTTACTGAGTATGTTAAAGCTGTAATGAAATGCTCCTCCAAAAAAAAAATTTAAAAAATTGGGTAAGTGCCTTCCTTGCTTGGTCTAGTCCAGAACGCCCCCTGCTCCTTGCTTATATTGGCTTATTAACTATCAACATGGGTATTTATATAACTCCTGCTGAATTCCAGTCACTAGACCATTGTGGCTCTTATGCCTTCTAATAGTCCTAAAACCTACATGTTATTAAATCCATTTGCTATCTTAGCAACTCAGGACTAATGAGCCCATTCATTAAATGAAATCACCACATAAAGCACTTAGCCTGACATATAACATGCCTGTTAATACACCATAGCAAATATGATTATTATTATTATTTGTTTACTTGACTTGCAAGTGCCTGGGTTGGGTCTACTGGGCTCAAGATCTTGTGATCTTTTTCTCTATACCACAGGAATTCTCCCCATCTTTCCCTTCCTTCCTCCCTACCTCCTTCTCTTCCTTCTTTCCTTCCTTCCTACATTGGCTGTTGTACTACAGACTCAAGGAGCAAGTCCTCTGTGGTCTACCAGCTCAGTAAATGAACCCCAGAATCTCGTTACTAATGGGGCAGATGGGGGGGCTCTTGATGCACCTGAAGCAATGGCTGTCACTCTTGAGTTCCACATCTACTCATAGGAATGGTCTTGATCTTAGGGAAGTGGATTAAAGGTGTCTCTTTCCAGAATTACTTCCATATTGGGAAATTTGGCTTTTGACTTGATCTTTGTTGTAAATATTTTATTTCAACATAATTCCCTTTTACTAATCTTAATAACCAATCTCCCTGGTTTTGATTTCTTTCCTGTGTTTGACTATTTGGCATGCTCAGTTCTAAACCCTGGATGCCTAGCTGATACCCTAATAGCCTGTTTGATGCCATGTGCATTTATTTTCTGTTGCTATTTTTAATTGCCTGTTTTGTTTAACAGAGGGCATAGCACAACAATTTCAGTTAAGACAAATAAGGTTTGCATGAAGCCAAACATTCCTCATTCCTCAGCAACTATGTGAAATAATTAGTATGGATATCCTTTACAGTCTGTGTTTCTCCTGTCATTTCTAAATTCTTTCTCTATATGACTACAACAAATTCTTTTTTATTGTTTTTATTTATATGTGCACCCATGTTGTGCAATTCCTGTGGGGGTCAGAGAGGGTACATTGAGTTTCTCTGGAGCTGATGTTATGGGCAGCTGTTAGTCACCAATAGGTTCTGGGAATCAAATGCAGGTCCTCTGCAAGAGCAGCCAATGCTCTTAACTGCTGAACCATCTCTCCAGCCCCTATGCACCAATTCTTAACACTGCATAAATATTCTTTCCATTTAGATGTCTGTGAACATCTTTGGATAAGTAATATAAGTAATAAAGCCATTAAGTATAAAAGTCATATGTTAAATTCCGGTATGTGCCACAACTAGATAACATTGAAAACAAATTGATACGTGAAATAAGACAGTCACTGAAAGTCAGATATTGCACGGTTCTACTCACACTGGAGCACTCAATTTTATAGAAGACAGCATGGTGGCTGCTAGGGCCTGGGGGGAGGCAGGGATGAAGAGTAGCTGCTTAGTGGACAAAGTTCCAGTTTGGAAAGATGACAGAGTTCTACAGTTGGGTGGTAGAGATGGCTTCACAAAATGAATGCACTTAATGCCATGGAACTGCACACTTGAAACAGAATGCAATGATTATGTAAGTAGATTTTGCTATATTTAAAAAATTCCAAATGGCACATTTGAATGAGTGGATGTTTCTGGATCCATTTAAGTAGTCACATATTCATGGTTATTTTGGCTGTTTCTACTCTCTTTTTTTCCCCACTGTGAACAATGCTGTAATAGACATCTGTGCACTTAGCAAATTTTTAAAAAATTGTGTTCTTTTATGTGCTTACAACATCATGTGGAGGTAGATTTACAGAACTTAAAGCTATTGTACTTAAATTTTGATACAGATTGCTATTTTATGAGGAATCCTGAATAGTGAAGATTCTTCATATTTCATAAGATGTCTGCAAACTGACAATGCCATCTCCTATACAACAACAGAGAGGATGCTTTGTCCTTCAGCATTCATGAAGTGGAGATAAACAGGTTCACAACTGTTGAAGGCAGTTTCAAAATCTAGACAAACAGTTCTGCACACAATGATTTTCTGTGTCGTAATATTAGATTAGAGCAACAGTGTCCAAATGCAGCATTCACTCAAATGGCAGTATTTGCTGAGAATATGCTTCATAAAACATGATAGTTTTCTGGGAAGGCGCAACCTTTGAATGCTCTGTTCTGTGAATTTTCAGTTATGTAATTGACATCGTGATAGTATATGAAAGGTATTTAAGGAATTCTCAAATGCCTTTATGGACCTTTAAAAATGTGATTAGCCAGTTGATTCAGTTTTTATAGGTTTATATCCTTTCATGAGCCAGTGAGGTGGCTCAGTGGATAAAGGTGCTTGCTGCCTGACAGTACAAGCTTGAGGACCCTAGTTTAATCTCTGAACCCCTGTAAAGATAGAAGGAGAGAAAGGACTCCACAAAGCTGTACTCTGGCCAACAAATGCTGTGGCATGAATGCCCCCGAGCAAATAATGATAATAGTAATAATAATACACTTTTTAAAAAGAAAACCTTTGAAAGTACTTTTTTTTTGTCTTTTTGAGATAGAGTCTCCCTGTAGCTCCAGCTAACCTGGAACTCGCTATGTAGACCAGGCTTGCCTTTAACTCACAGAGATCCACCTGCCTCTGCCTCCTAAGCGCTGGGATTAAGGTGTGAGCCATCATGCCCAGCCTTGAACAGGCTTACACTTTTAGTGTGAGTTCTCTTCAGTTGTAGAGATGACTAATCAAATTACTACAATTAAAATTGACTTAGCCTTTTTGGAAGTGTTTGGTAACTCCTTACTTGTCCATAACACTAGTTCAAAGCAGAGCTAAAGCCTTGTCTTAACATATTTAAAGTAGTATTCAGAGCATTATTTATGCATGTTGTGATGCTATTTGTATAATTGTGAAATTGTTATAATAAAGTACTAGAAGAAAATGAAAATAAAATGAAGAAGTACCATGTCAAAGCAGAAACAAAAACAAACTAAAAACAAGCAGACAAACAAAGCACGAGTGGCACACCAGGGAAGACAGAGGGTGTTGTAGAAGGTCCTTAAACCTTTGGTGAAACCTAAGGATGGTTTCTTATTTGGCAAGTAAATAAACTGAGGCTCAGAATGGGCCAATAATTTGGCAGTTCCTGTAGATGGTCAACAGTAGAGACAAGATGAGAATGTATTTCCATGGCTATCTATTCAGAAGCACACAGTCTCCCCCACAAAGTTATGATCCAAACCGAGGTACCTACCCTCTCTCAGTCCTGTCCTGTATGTTGTGGCTCCTGGGCCTGCTCACTCAGTTCTTGGTAGTTATCAAGCTTAACTTCCCACTGACTGTCCCGTCCAGAAAATTTCTCCAAGAGGTTTTAATGATTACACAGGATGTGAATTTTGCTCTAGTTACAAGCAATTGACACATGAAAATGTCCTTTGCTTCCCCTTTCTGAATTTTGAGGTCTAGGAAAATAACACAAAATAGAAGTAGCTCACGAAACAAAGAGCCAGAAATTCTTCCCTGCATTTCTGTGTGGAGTTAGGTAAGAAAATTGGGTTCCTTTAAATCTGTTCTCTTGTTGAATCTGTTGAATGAGGCCTGGATAATAATGATTCCACTATCTGGCTGTTGGAGAATGAATGAGAAAGGAGGTAAAAGGTCTAAGAAAATTAGAATAATTGTCAATAATAATGCTAAATTTGGATTTGA